TATGTCCATGCCTATATTTAGACCACTATAAATGCCCTTTGCCTCCTAGTTCTTTCCTCTATTTCCTTTTACTTTCCTCTTGTCCCATTATCATGTTCAGCCTTCATTTGGGTTTCAGTAATCCCTCTCGGTTACATTGCCCTTGATCAAGCCCTACCATGCCTTCTACACCCTCCTCACCATTGATTTTGGGTCACTTGTTGTTCCTTTGTCCCTGAGTTTGTTAACACCACTTCCTTTTCCCTGTTTCCTCCTCTCCCATGTCCCGCTGGAACAGTCAGTCCCGTTGTTTTTCCTCCAGACTATTTATCCTGCCTATCTTATCTAGATAGACATTATCTCTAGAGATAATAATATGCACAAAAACAAGACAGAGCAAAAACAAAGGAACAAAAGAAAACAAAACAATAACAACAAAAACCAAGACAAAGGTAAAAAAGGAAAGCCTATAAATAGTTCAAGGGCTGTTTGTTGACCTTTAGGAGCATTTTCCAGTCAAGTCTGATGAGGTGCCATGCCCTGGCCCCAAAGTCTATTTTTGGTATTCCCTGGGACGTCGTTGCTCTGCTCCCCTTGCTGTTCTGTTGCATGCCCTTAGTGTTTCACCTCGTGTGGTGGGGTCTGATCGGGCACAATATCCACAGTGTCTCCAGTGTTGTTCCCCGTAGCACTGCTATTGGTCAGTGAGGAACATTGTGTCTCATAGTGAGGCCAGCCCTACGGTACTCTCTGTGCATTGGCTGCTCTGAGCAGGGATATTGTCCTCAAGGCTTGGTGTGCCAGGATGTGCTCCACTCTGTTCCTCCCCCTTCTTTTACTCCTATGTGCTCTGATCAGGCTACACCTAGTTAAATTGGCATAATACAATCTATAAAGACAATGTTCTACTTACTACTTTGTTTTTGATTAAGGGCACTACATGTCCTTACAAGTACTCAGCCTCAAAACCTATGGTCAGTATAGTCCTCTTTACTCTCAACCACCTATTATTCTTGCTAGGTGCCATTCAGTTGGTTTCAACTGCTTGGTCTATGCTATCCGTAGGCTTTATCTAGCACCTCGTTCTGAGCTTCCCATCTGTGTTAGGCTGGGTTGGCTAGAGAAACAAATTCAGTGACACTCATCTTTGTATAAGAAAGAACTTTATATCAAGAAGTAATTATACATCAAGAAGGTAGCCCAGCCCAGCCTATCTCAAGTCTGCAAGTCCAGTGCTAGTCCACAAGTCCCTCTTCAGACTCACACAGCCACATGCAGTGATGCAGAATGCAGGGAGATCACAGGGTGCCAAATGGTGTGGATCAAAGGGAAGTGGCAACATGGCAGTGCACCCACCAGCAGCTCTCGGGTCGGTGTCGGAGTCCCAGCACACAGAAAGGTGAAGGGACAGAGAGAGAGAGATTGTCTCTATTCACCCTGCTCTCATACAGCAGGCTGATGACATCAAGGCGGTGTCGTCAGGCTGTGATTGATTGACAGGTTAAATTCCAACCCTAGCCAGGATTGTCTACTTGTTATAATCCTGAAATGCCACATAATTTTAAATGGTTTTGCACTTAAAAATAGAATCAGTAAATTTCATTCATCATTCATTCCATAAGACTATGTTCAGCACCAACTTTGTTGCTACTTAACATGATTGCTGAGTCCATGAATTTTACAATGGCCTTAGGATAGTAATAGTACCCATTGATTTCATATTTAGTACCTTTTAAAGCATTTTCTATGTCATATTTCTAACCTTTATGATGACCTTATTAAATATATGATGAACAAAAGGAAAATTGCTATTCATAAGGTTTTCAATGGTTGATTCAAAAAGACTTTAGTTTGGTATTACATTCATGTATGTTTTGTGTTTGACAGCATACTTTAACATCAGGCATATCTAAAAAGGACCTCGTAGATAAAAAGTGCTTAACAGAAAAATACACCTATCTCTCCTGTGATAAAGTCTTCTGCCAACCGTGGATGAAGTGCATCGATGGGGTCTGTATGTGTAAGCTCCCTTATCAGTGCCCAAAGAATGGCACTGCAGTATGTTCCACAAACGGAAGAAGCTACTCAACTTACTGCCAGCTAAAGAGCTTTGAATGTCTTCGTCCACAGGCAAAGTTTTCTAATAGCGGACCATGCCTAGCTGAAGGTAAGAAAAGCCTAGTTTTCAAGACCAACTTATTCTGTGACAGAAGAGGGCACTTGCCAGCCGCAGTTTCTTTTAGAAAATGCATTTCCTGTGAAATATGATGAAGATCACTCAGGGCTCTTCTCTTGACACTTTATAGTAACTTAGGAACGAACTAAGGAATCAGCCGTCACAAAGAGCCGTTGCCCTGACACCAGTGTGAGCAGCGGGTCACCCTCTGAGGCTCAGACCTCTGTTTGCACTTCTTCTACATTATGAAGTGGGATTATTCCCAGGACCATTAAGAGTCCATGCAAGACCCAGTGAAAGAGTCCTACCATAAATAATAAAACTGATACCGGTATGCAATCTGGGCAGGCTCCTGCCAGATACTCATTTCTTGCTTCTGTCCTTCCTCTCCCTCCCCTCACACCACTGGCTTTGCATCTTGGGCCACTGCTGACTTAGACATACTGCAATTGAGCAAATTTGGCCTCTAAGGTGAGAGAGTTGTCTACAGTCCACCCAGGTGCCTCACTTATGAGCAGGTGAAATTCTAATATATGACTCGGTGGAGTGTTTGAGATCAGTATCTCATTGCCAGTCAGATTTTATTTCGTCTCTCCAAGCTCCAGCTAAGCTCTGTGACAAGCTCTACGACCTCTCTGGGTTCTAGTGTCCCCGTAACAGTAGCTCCTAACCTATAAGGCACTTGTGAAGATGGAGTAAACTCATGCAAGTTCTTAGCACACTAAAAGCGCTCATTACATTTTAACCCACTGTCCTCTGCCATCAACTTATCACAGGCAAGTAGTGAATTTACAGATGAATGCCTGTAACGTTTCTTTCCAAAGCACTATGATACGCTGACAGCTGTCTCAGAGACTAAGAGGCTGGGTAGTGTGGGAAAGGAAGAAGAGAGCTGCCTGTTGGAGCCCCTCCTTGTGACCCAGTGGCGTGGAGCAAGGCAGCAGGGCAGGCTCTGGTGTCCGTGTCCCCCTTCTCCTCGCCTAACTGCCTTCAAGACACGAGCAGCATCAACACTTCTCACATCGTCATCAGTGTTTATTTGGCTTACTTTAAAGAGCGTGCACTTTGGAGGAAGTTTAAAACAGCCAAACCAATGGCTGCAGAGTCAGCGTCACTGCGTGGTGACCCCACATGTGTCCCGGAGAACCGTTCTCCACACGGTTTTCCATGGCTGGTGTTTCAGAAGTAGATCACCAGGCCTTTCTCCTGAGGAGCTCCTGGATAAACACTAACCTCCCATCTTTCGGTTAGCAGCCAAGTGTATTAACTGTTTGCACCATGCAGGGACCTGTCAGGAACCCTGATAGCATCGTGGGTGTCATCCTGAGCTGCCAACCTTATGGTTACAGGTACTAGCTGCTCCCCGGTGGAATGAAGGACTTCCTGCACCTTAGAGTTTCAGCCTGAGGCCCACACGGGCAGTTCTACTCTGGCCTCCAGGGCCGCTGTGGGTCTGAATGAACGCAATGGCAGTGAGTTGTTTTGGGTTGTGTTTTTGTTGAGGGACGTATAAGATAAGTAGAATTGTTATTAGCTACTGTTGAGTTGGTCCCCAATTCATGGTGACCCCACGCACAATGAAATAATGGGAAATGTTACCTGGGCCTGCTCCATTCCCATGATCACTTGGGGACTGGACGAGTGTGAACAACAGAATTACTAAACCTTGTTTCTAGCCCTGCTTAGTCTAGAAGTTTGGCTCAAGCCTGTACACCATCACGCAAGGCACCACTGATGAGAGCAGTATTGGCTCAGAAGGGAACCAGGGACTGCCTCATGAAAGGTGACAATTCTACCACTGACCCACCAAGGCCTCCACAAGATTAACTAGAAACCCAAACCAAGCAAACGCATCGCTCTCTGGTCAATTCCAACTCACAGGGACACCATGATGTCGATAGGAGATAAGGCCCTTCCCTTAGAGCCAACAGAGAAAGAAAGCCTTCCCGTAGAGCTGGGCCCTGAGTTCAGACTGCTTGTCTTCTCATTTAAGAGAGAGCGCCCACCCCTCTTACAGAAGGGTTGTGGGGAGGAGACCAACCAGTCAGGGTGCAGGGTATCAACGATGAAACATACAACTTTCCTCTAGCTCTTAAATGCTTCCTCCGCCCACTGTCATGATCCCAATTCTACGTTACTAATCCGGCTAGACCAGAGGATGTATACTGGTACTGATAGGAACTGGAAACACAGGGAATCCAGGGCGGATGATCCCTTCAGGACCAGTGGTGGGAGTGACGATACCAGGAGGGTGGAGGGAAGGTGGGGTTGAAAGGGGGAACAGATTACAAGGATCTACATATAACCTCCTCCCTGGGGGAC